CTCAAAATAAACTTGGTCTGAATTGGCTGAGATTTTTTTGACTGCTGGATCATGCTTTTTGAATGAATTAGAAGTAAACCACAAAATCAGGGATTTAAAAGTAATTATTCACAAACGTGTTCGTTATAAATCCAATTCACGTATCCTGTTGAATTGGCTGCTTTGTATAATTGAGGGCCAATTTCAACATTCACATGACAATGAAAATCTCAAGCTTAAATTTATTAATATGTTTCCTTGGCAGAACACCAAGCCCCTTAATAACAAAATATGGAGAGAAAGGGTATTAGTCTCCAAAGACTCGAGTTTGATTTTGAAAATAAACCGATGTTCATTTTAAAAAATCATTTATAAGAAGACATAAGACTGTGGAACTATAAATTTACATGGAAAATAATTTAAAGGACAGAACCAAACAAAATTTTAATATGGGATTTAGTTGGGGTTCCTGTTTAAGGAGGGCCCAAAGATAAAAATATTTAAGTGTTTTGGGGCCCACCTGAGCAATTCAAGTCTTGAATAGTTGCTAACGCACTAATCAGATAACTCCTATCTAGGTATAACTGACAAATAATTTGTCAAAGGCACCCAGATATGGAACAGAAGCACTGCATGGTCAACCAGACAGATCCCAGTAAAAGTGATTATCTCATTTTTAATAACTGTGGCTATCATATATTATCAGGTATCTGTCCAGCACTATATGAAGTGCTGGACAGACATTATTTTATCTAATACATACAAAACCCCTATTGAGCAAATGAGAAACAAAGGCTTAAAAATAGTTTAAATAAATTACCTCAAATTAATAAATCTTTAAACAAGAAAGCAGGATTTAAACCCAAGATCGTTTAATGGCAAAGCCGTTGCTATTGACCACTCCATTTTATTTTATTGTTTTTCAAAGGATGATCTTGAATTGGCAACATCAGCATCAACTGAGAATTTGTCCCAAAGTCCCAAATTCTACCCAGGCCTACTGAATCAGAATCTCTGGCTGTGAGACCTACAAGTCTATTTTAATCACCTCTCCAGGAGATTCTAAAGCACACTGAAATTTGAGAAGTACACCTCTATTTCTCCAAACTTAAGCAAATATATATATACAATGTTTCTCTTTGCCAGTGGAGATTCTTGTAAAACTCAGAAAATGAATATCACATCCATTTCCTTGTTTAGGCTATGTGATCAATTGTCACTATAATTCCTACAAATTGAATACATAAAATGAGTTCCAAGGAAAACAACACAATAGCATTATTATCCATCTAAAATATGAACAAGGGCTACAGTGATTGGAATTATTTCAAGACCTGACTACCCATATTGATTTGGGATTAAAACAGTATCACTTAGCTCACTCTCTAAGCTTTAACAGATAAAACAAATTTTTAATATAATCTGACAAATGAGTATCTTGCCAAGAGGGAAAGAAAAGGCAAGAACAACCATCCAATGTGCTGTGGTGAAACTGAAATATGTGAAAATGACAATCAGAATTTCAATCTATTGCTATGAGTGCTTATGTTGCCAAATAATGAAATGTATTGACACTAATGCTGTGCTGTCACTGGCATGTTATACAGATGATGAAATTTTCTAAGCAAAGTTGCTGGAGGTCATTCAAATATTTATAATGGTGTGATAGGTGAACTGACTCTCTTACTAAAAATTTTTGTTCCAAACTCCTTGATGAGAAAATATTTGGAATAAAGCACAATAAGTTCATATATATATATATATATATATATATATAAACACAATAAGTTTATATGATTGAAACTAATTTTTTTTCCCTGGGAATTTAAGAATCTTTTTAATAGTTGAGAGCTGGTGTACAGCTGCAAGAGATTGTCTTAATAAGAACCCAATATTTATGCTTCCTTGATAGAACAAATGAGAGTTCTCACTCTGTTTTCTATCTTACTTATGCTGAAAGCCTGGCAACACTAGGATATAATACTTGCTCCTTCAAAATGTTTCTAAATTGTTCACTGTTTCATATTTCATCTCAGAGCTGCTTTATTTATAATATTACTAAACCTCAAAGAGACCCATATGGTGGAAGAGAATAAAGAAACTTTGTGATTTCACTGTTTTATTCCTTTTTTATTTACTTATTTATTTTATTGCATTTTAGGTTTTGGGGTACACGTGAAGAACATGCAAGATTGTTGCATAGGTACACACATGGCAGTGTGATTTGCTGCCTTCCTCCCCATCACCTATATTTGGCATTTCTCCCCATGCTATCTCTCCCCTACTCCCCACCCCCCACTGACCCTCCCCTGTTTCCTCCCAACAGACCCCAGTGTGTAGTGCTCCCCTCCCTGTGTCCATGTGTTCTCATTGTTCAACCCCCACCTATGAGTGAGAACATGCGGTGTTTGATCTTCTGCTCTTCTGTGAATTTGCTGAGAATGATGGTTTCCAGGTTCATCCATGTCCCTACAAAGGACGCAAACTCATCGTTTTTGATGGCAGCATAATATTCCATGGTGTATATGTGCCACATTTTCCCTGTCCAGTCTATCATTGATGGGCATTTGGGTTGGTTCCAGGTCTTTGCTATTGTAAACAGTGCTGCAATGAACACTCGTGCGCATGTGTCCTTATAGTAGAACGATTTATAATCCTTTGGATATATACCCAGTAATGGGATTGCTGGGTCAAATGGAATTTCTATTTCTAGGTCCTTGAGGAATCACCACACTGTCTTCCACAATGGTTGAACCAATTTACACTCCCACCAACAGTGTAAAAGTGTTCCTATTTCTCCACACCCTCTCTAGCATCTGTTGTCTCTAGATTTTTTAATGATCGCCATTCTAACTGGCGTGAGATGGTATCTCAGTGTAGTTTTGATTTGCATTTCTCTGATGACCAGTGATGATGAGCATTTTTTCATATGTTTGTTGGCCTCATGTATGTCTTCTTTTGTAAAGTATCTGTTCATATCCTTTGCCCACTTTTGAATGGGCTTGTTTTTTTTTTTTTTTTCTTGTAAATCTGTTTTAGTTCTTTGTAAATTCTGGATATCAGCCCTTTGTCAGAAGGGTAAACTGCAAAAATTTTTTCCCATTCTGTTGGTTGCCGATTCACTCTAATGACTGTTTTATTCCTTTTTAAAAGAATTGACTTGAAAGTGAAAATTGTTTTAGTCTGCTTTTTATTCACAAGGACTGTGTCCATGCTTTGCAATGGGATGGCTTAAACAGACAGGTAAATTATATTACACAATAACTTTTTTGACAGATAGATAATTCTGCAAAAATTGTCCTCTTTCTAACAGGTATGTGAAATTTTATGTAGATAATTGCTGTTTATATTTAAATAAAGCAAACCAGCCTTGCAAAAACACAACATTTTTGTCTAAATACAGGTCAAGAAATATTGCTACCAGCAGCCCCACTCCTTAAAAGTTTCTTAGTTCTTTCTAGCATTACTTATTTATTCCTACTGCTTACCATTTTACTATATTGAAGATCCATTAAAAGCTAGCATTTTAAGCTAATTTATTTATTTTCATGAGTACATAATTGATGTATGTATTTATGGGTACGTGAGATGTTTTGATACCAGCATGCAATGTGTAACGATCAAATCAGGTAATTGGGGCATCCATCACCTCAACTATTTATCATTTATGTTAGGAACGTTTGTGTTAGGAACATTTCAATTCCGCTCTTTATTTTAAAATATACAATAAATTATTGTTAACTATAGTCACCCTATTGTGCTACTGAATTCATTTGTGCTCTTATTCATTTTATCTAAGTATATTTCTGTATTTATTAAGAAGTTCCACTTTATTCACCCCTCCCTGCTACCCTTCCCAGCCTCTGATAACCATCCTTCTACTCTCTACCTCCATAAGTTGCTTTTTTTATTTTTAGCTCCCACATGCAATATTTGTTTTTCTGTGCCTGGCTTATTTCACTTAACATAATTTCCTCTAGTTCCATCCATGTTGTTGCAAATGACAGAATCTTACTGTAAGGCTGTTTGCCTCGCCGGGAGTTTGGACACGCCCATCTCCCTCCCCGCTTGAAAATTACATTATCAGAATATGCCCATCATCTAGCTCCGCCTTGGAAATCCCCTCTGCACTTGGCACCTAGCCAGCCCTTGGAAATCCCCAACCCCTCCCTTGGAAATCCCCTCTGCACTCAGCACTTAGCCTGCTCACCGGAAATCCCACCTACCTACCAATAGCAGCTCGCCCCCATCCACATCCTGTTTCTCCAAATCCAATCGAATGCCTTCACTCCCTATAAAACCCCACTCCTGAGAGGAGTCAGTCACGACTTCCCTGGCCACTCTCCCGGGGACCACAGAACCTCACCTGGGAGCTGAATAAATTGGCATCTAATTTTCTTGTGCTGGCCTCAGTTTCCTCGTTTTTAACTCGGCAATAAACCTACAGAGTATAAAACTTACACTTACTTTATTATGGCTGAGTAATATTCCATAGTGTATAAGGATCACATTTTCTTTATCCATTAATCCATTGACGTACACTTTGGTTGATTTTATAACTTGGCTCTTGTGAGTAGTGCTAAGAGTACAGAAATCTCTTTGAGATACTGATTTTCTTTCTTTTGGATATATACACAGCAGTGGGAATTTTGGGTCATATGGTAGTATTATTTTTGTTTTTTAAAATGTTATACTGTTCTCCATAGAAGCTGTACCAATTTACATTTACCTGAGGTCAGGAGTTTGAGACCAGCCTGGCCAAACATGGTGAAACCCGTCTCTACTCAGGAGGCTGAGGCAGGAGCATCGGTTGAACCCAAGAGATGGAAGTTGCAGTGAGCTGAGATCGTGCCACCACACCCAGATAATTTTTGTATTTTTAATAGAGATGAGGTTTCATCATGTTGGCCAGGCTGGTCTCGAACTCCTGACCTCAAGTGATCCACCTGCCTTGGCTCCCGCAAAGTGTTGGGATCACAGGCATGAGCCACCGTGCTCAGCCAATGTGCATCATATTTTAACAAAAAGAATAAGAGCAGGAATCCAATCTGCTAGTATAATGCAGTAATGAAGATCATGTGCATTGATGCCGGGCAGCCTTGGTGTCAATTCTTGCTCTGCTGCTTACTACATATGGGATCTTGAACCAGTCACTTAGCTTCCTGTTCCTCATTTCCAATCTCATAGGGCTATGGTGAAGATTATAGAAGAGAGTGCTTTGAACTATGCCTGGCACGAGGTAGGTGGTTGATAGATGGAAGCCATCATTATCATTCTCTGGGCCTCATTTTTATCACCTGTAAAATGGAACTAAGACCTCCAAGAAGCCCTATTCAATCACATCATGAAATAGCTCCTTTCTTGACTAGTAAGAAGTTGGTAAAAGCATTGGACTGGAAATCCAGATTAAGATTTAAGTCCTGGCTCAACTATTTCCTAGTTGTTTGCCTTTGACAAGTCATTTCATCTCTTTGAGTCTGTCACTTCAATTGTGAAATGATTCATTTGGGTTGAGAGTTCCTCTTCTGACTCTGGATCTCTACAATTTTAGAAAATATGTCCTTTGTTCCTGAACATATGAACAATTTTTATAATTTATCCTTCATGTATGTAGCATGCTTATCATACACACACACACACAAACACACACACACACACACGAGAATCACCTGAACCCAGGAGGAGGAGGTTGCAGTGAGCCAAGATCACACCACTGCCCTCTAGCCTGGGCAACAGAGTGAGACTCAGCCTCAAAAAAAAAAAAAAATTTTTTTGCTCTAAAATAGAGCTCTGAACCAACACTGATATAGAGAAGACAAAGGTAAGGACAAAATAAAGGTGAAAGATTTTTATAATATACATTATATGTATGTATGTATATATGTAGCATACATGTGTATGTATATATGTAACATACAGATTATATGTGTATTGCTCTAACTTTAAGCCTCTCGAGGACAATACCTGATAATATTCATATTTGTGTCTGTGATCTTTTGTCACTGCCTGGCATATAGTGAGTGTTATAAATGTATTTTTTGGGAACAAAATAAAGAACTATATTGAAGGTGTACAGAGAACAAAATAATTACTTGTGACTGGAGCTTGTTATAAGTTGTACGTTGTACAACTCTACGAGGTGCAACTTACATTGTAATTATGAATGGCTTTAGAGTTGTGTGGTACACACCTGCACAGGTATGTGTGGCAGCCCTAAGGAAAAGAGCAATCAGAAAACACATCCAGAAAAACATTAAAATTGAACTGGGCTTTGAGATAATCAAAAAAAATCTACACGTGAAGAAAGAATGCAGAGGCATTTCAGACTGAGGAAAGAGTCTATATAGAAGCCCAGAGTCAGGGAAAGGCAGCTAGTAGACCAGGTAGCTGAGAGTTATGTTGTGATAAGGAGGTAATGGATGATAGGTAGAGAAGTTACTTTACCACTCAATAATGGAGGACATTGCCTGCCACACTAAGTGCGAGATGTTCTTGGTAACCATTCAGGAACTATTGCTACTTTTGAAGGAGGGAAATAATGTAAGAAAGCTCATTCTGGCCATTGTGTGGAAGATGCACTAAAGAATAAAAGGCAGAGAGACCGCTGCCATAATGTAGCTGAGACATGATAAGGTCATAATTAAGATGACAAAAAGGATAGAAAGAAAAAGACAAATAGAACTTTGTGACTTAATTGGTTGCTCCAGGTGAAAGAGGGGAATGAAAAATTATTCCAAGGGTAACTTGGTAGACAATGGGACAATTAATTGCAAAAGGGGACAGGGCTTTTTTTAAAAAGGGAGCTGATGTGTTCAGTTTAGCAACAGATGTATTGCATTTGAGGTACCAGCAGGACGTCTATAAAAATACCTGGTGTAGAACTCATAAAAGGAAAGATTAAGATTTCGGAAGTGTCAGCTCATGGAGGGTGGCTTAATCCATATAGGCCAGGTGGGCAGCAGTATAGGATGTTACTGGCTCTTAACAGGGTAGGGCCAGGTAGAAAATACAGGCTCTTCAGTGGTACGCAGTCTGGAAGAGTGTGTGCACGTGCATCTCAAAATCTATATATATATATATATATATATTTTGAGATGGAGTCTTGCTCTGTCACCCAGGCTGGAGTGCAGTGGTGCAATCTAGGCTCACTGCAACCTCCACCTCCCAGGTTCAAGTGATTCTTTTGCCTCAGCCTCCAGAGTAGCTGGGATTACAGGCACAGGACACCACACCTAGCTAATTTTGTATTTTTAATAGAGACAATGTTTCACCATGTTGGCCAGGCTGGTCTCGAACTCCTGACCTCAGGTGATCCACCTTCCTCAGCCTCCCAAAGTGGTGGGATTACAGACCTGAGCCACTGTACCTGGCCAGGTTCTTCAGGGTTGCTCTAGTTTACCTATTATTGAGTAATAAACTACCCCAGAGCTTAATGACATAGCACAGCCATTTATCTTGTTGATGATTTTGTGGGTCAGGCATTTGAAAAGGGTGTAGCTAGGTAGTTTTGTTCCACATGATAGTGGCTGGGCCTGAAGGATCCACTTCCCAGATGGATTTTCCACTGACACATGGGATCTCATCCTTAGCAGCTGCTTCATATGGCCTGGCTTTCTCATACCATGGTTGTCTCAAGATAATCACACTCCTTACAAGAGGTAGGAGGTGAAAGCTACCAGACCAATGAAGGGCTATGTCTAGAACTAGCACAGTCATTTCTATCACATTCTATTGGCCAAAGATGTCACAGGGCTCAACCATATTCAAGAGGTTGAGAAATTGACTTTATCTCTCTTTTTTTTTTTTCCAGATTAAGCATCTGTTTTATTCAAACCTAGGTAACTCAGAAGCTTTAGGCAGCCTGTTTTGCAGGACATTTAGTGCTGGAGTGTCTTCCTGCCTCATACTCCCAAGAACCTGCTCCTGCAGATGGAACTCAGAACCCTTCCTTGTTGTCAAAACAGGGCTGTCTTCAGGCTTGAAGTCCAGGTTAGGGCTACCAAACTCACTGAGAATTGTCAGAGCCCTGTAGCTAACAATGGGGTATTTGGCTTTGTACACACTGGTGAAGACATCATCCACAAAATCCAACTTCTTGGCTATGAGACCTGTGTTGTGTCACAGGTGAGGTCTACATGATCCAAGGACATCTTGGCTATCCCTCTAGTGGAGTCTTTCCTGGTCAAGGCATTGTAGGTGGCTCTTTGTCCATAAAACTCCTTTCTAGAGGTGACATCAAGCCCCACTCCCTTCACTGCCAAAGACGTGGGCCGATCCTCCTCCTGCCATAGTGGATCAGCCCCCCAGGCTAGCACCGGGACCAGGACTAGTGCTGCCAGCTGCTGCAGCCACTGCCCTGGCACATGGCCCACCACAGTGAGCATGTGGTGCAGAGCAAGGGCAGCCTGGCCGGACTGGATTTTATCTCTCTCTTGATATGGGAGTGGCACAGTCACATTGCAGAAGGGCATGTGGGATAGAAGATATTTTGGAGTCATATTTGAAAACTACTCTCTGCTACAGAAGTGTTCTTCAAAATCACCTGAAGAGATTTTGCCAATAATAGCTATTATGCTTCCAAGTTTTAAATAAATTGCATAGAGGCTTCTGATATATATGTCTGACCAAGACCCACTAGAAAAAGTGGCTCAGGACTGAAATATGCAAGGAGGAGAGCAGCTCTGAATACTGAGCTCCTGCTGGTAGACCAGAGACGAAAGAAATGAACTAGAAGCAGTACACAAGCCAAAAGAGAAGGGAGTTTCAAGGAGGCTGAGGTCAGAAGCACTAACTGTGATGGAGATCGTGAGAATGAGGAGAACTAAGCAGAGGCTGATGAATTTGGCTTTAAAAGCTTTCCAGCAATCTTTGAAATCTGTTTCAATGGAATTGAAATCTGAATTCAGAAGCTTGTAAACTGAGTTTGCAACCAGAATAACTTGTTTTCTGCTAGAAGTGCGGCTAGCCTCATGAAATATTATCTGTAAAGATTGAAATAGCAGTTCTACGACAATATACCCAGTCTGCAAACAGAATGTTGTAAAGGCAGCTAAGGTGTAAACTTCAAGCAAATGGATATATCTTCCTCTTGCTACTTCCTTTTATCTTTGCAAATACATTACTTGGTATTAACTCTGATGTTTTTCTTTATTTGGGATATCAACTCAGAATCAAGTGGTGTATCAGTTAGTTCCTGTTGTATAACAAATCACCCAAAACTCAATGCCTTAAAATCAGGGGTTGGAAAACTATAGCCTGTGGTCCAGATGCCAGTTTTTTTTTAATACATTTTCTTTGGACACCACCTGTCTGCTCATTTACGTATCACCTATGGCTATTTTTTGGCACTACAGCGGCAGGGGAGAGTTACAACAGAGCCTATGCTGCATGCACGTATATTATGTACTATAGGGTCCTTTAAAAGTAAAGGTTTGCTCAGTTCTGCTAAAAACCATGAGTATTTGTGACTGCTCAAGAGTCAGCTGGCCTTTTCTAGTCTCAGCTGTGCTCACTCAAGCCTCACTCATGATCATCTGTAAGCTCTGGCAATGTGGGGTAAGCTCTCTCATCTGTGGTGGTTGACTGGTTGTTGGCTAGTTTAGGATGGCTTTGACTGGAACCACTGGGATCTTCTCCATGAATTTTTATCTTCTAAGTATAGCCTAGTGCTATGTCATGAATGTGTCCTCCAAAAGTCCATATGTTGAAACTTAATCACCAATGTGTTAGTATTAAGAGGTGGAATCTTTAGGAGGTGATTAAGTCATAAAGGCAAAGCCCTCATGAATGGGATTAATTATCTTATAAAAGAAGTGCAAGGGAGCTATTTGCCCCTTTTCTGCCTCCATCTGTTTCACCATGTGAGGACACAGAATTCATCCCATTTAGAGGAAGCAGTGTTCAAGGCACCATCCTGGAAGCAGAGACTGGCCCATCACCAGACACCAAACCAGCTTACACCTTGGACTTGGACTTCCCAACCTCCAGAACTGTGAAGAATAAATTTCTATTATTTATAAATTACCCAGTCTCAGGTATTTTCCATAGCAGAAGAAACAAACTAAGAACCTAGACTTGTCCATATAGTGGTAGTAAGTTTACAGTAGGGCAAGCAGAAGTTCACAGGTCTCTTGAGGCCTATGCTCAGAAGTGGTGTACCATCATTTCCACCACATTTCATTGGCCAAAGCAAATCACGAGACCAGCCCAGATTCAAGAAGTGGGGAAATAGTCTACCTT